TGTGACGTATATACAATCCCAAAACATATGCACACAACAATAGATACGATCGCATATCGTACATAAAAAATATGCCAGCACATAGTGTGTAAAAAGCAAATTTATATACATAACTTAAACTCACGTGCCACCCTCAGCGCGAATAGCTTAGCAAGTTAACGCACTCAGTTCACGAACGCGAGCACAACTAAGTGGCGCAGGTTCGAGTCCCGTCAAGTTTTTTTTCAACGTTTTTATTGTACTGCTATCTTTTCTAATGCCTTAGGTTCTAAAACAAAATAAAAGCAATATTGCGTTCAAGTATGTATGTGGGACTGTGCGTTTTGCGCAACAGTTATTAGTATTTTTATTTTCATTATTAATTTTTTATTTATTTTGTAATATAACAAAATTAAGGACTAAGGGGAACAATGGGTCTGCTTGATTGTGAAGGGACTCGAGAAGTGAGAAAACTCAAACCAAAAAATTTATTTGAGAAAAAACTGAGCATTTCACAGCCGGACCAGTTTCTTCAAGGGTAGGCCCTAGGTATGCGCGAGACTTGCTATATGACTCATCTCAAGCTGTGGCAGTTGAGGGAAGGCAATATCACCGAGAAGCAGTTCCAAAATATATTTTGTTGATGTTTTTTGATTCCTCCAAAATAAGGGCTGCACAATTGTAATCGAGCCAAACCAAGAATTGCGGGCACGAAGTCGTCAGACAGAAAATGAATAATGTTGATTGTTTGAAAAATTGCCCTAATAAAAGGAAGAGTTATGGAGTGCTACGTAGCTTAACTCGCAGTAGGAATTTTATATATACATATAGATAGTTTAAAATGGACAATGTTGCACACACAGACATTGGTTAAATTTCTTTGCAGCACAGTTGAAGCATCTATGTAGAACTGAAGCATCAAGAGAAGCTCATGCGTCCTGACTTTATTGCGCTTTACATAGCTTGTATGCGTCCATGCAGCCATGATATGATACATTTTAAAGCATTTGTTTAACCTATAATCTTCTTATTCATTAAAGCTGGCCCATAAGTTCTGTCTTATGTAGCACTACAATTGAAGCGTAATCTGCATGGTGGTCTGAAACAATGCTTTTGAAAATCTCAAAACGACCCAGCTCTATACACGACCATCCGTGCATCAGTGATAAGCACCATTATGTGTTTGTACATATCAGTTGGGCTCTCATACTTAATTATTTTTCTGACCACTCCCTCTGCCCCTACCTCGTTTCTGTCGTGAAGCTGTGGCAAGTTGTGTATAGCTGTATTTATATTGTACGAGCACATACTATCAACAAAAATTATTTTTAGGCTACATGCAATTAGTTTTCATAGATTTTCATTTCTTTTGTCGGTGCTCAGGAGAGCTAAGCTCAGGGTCGATATTTTAAAATGACATTTCTCTTTGCCAATGTTAATGAGAACAGTTTCATTAATATTGACAAGTTCATTCACATTGAATTTATTTCTCATTATTATTGTTTCTACCAAAAAACGAGCCCTTGAAGTTATGCTTTTTTGCTTGATTTGTTTTCGTGTGACAGCAAGCAAGTAAAATGACAGTTATTGTCATTCCTTGTGAATGACACAATTTCTGTGTGACAGACTTTAGCACCTGGTCATCTGCAGAAGTTGTATTCATTCTGGAAGAGGGCGAACAGCGGTGACTGACAACACAGACTAACCTGCGTTATTCTTTTGTACTATATATGTCACTGTGCATTCATTTATAACTTTATAGAGCTCGGATTTTCTGCTTAAAATGTGACAACAACTGTAGAGTTTCCACATTTTTGCAACAATCCACATGCCTTTCATGCACTATTGCACATTTTCGTAAGCACCTTACAAAATCTGTATATTTCCGTAAGACCTTACATTCTGCATTTTCCTTATGAAAGCTTCTGTACACTCCATACATTTTCCTTATCCTTCCATATCTTCCATCATGAACTCTCCGTATGCTCCATAAGTTTCCTTATGTTTCCTTATCCTTCCATATACTCCATAAAAGCTTTCCATATATGCCATACAGTTTCCTTATCTTTCCGTATACTTCATAAAAAGCTTTCCGTATACGCCATACAATTTCCTTTCCTTCCTTATACTCCATAAGAAGCTTTCCGTAAATGCCATACAACTTCCGTATATTTCCATAAAACTCCATATTTTTTCCGTATGTAGCATAAGGAAATGTTACGGAGTCCATATATTTTCCGTAAGATTTCATACGGAACGTTTCAGTAGGGATGCTTACTCTAGGAACACCCCTACTTCAACCCTGTCGTCACCTTTTAACCGGTCTTTGATTGCTTCTGTGCATCGATTTAAATTCAAGTCCCCAGTGATTATCACATGCTGTGACTTTTCAGCTGGAGCGTCCTGCACCTGGTGGTTATTTGTACCTGTAACGCCGGCTCCTTTGTCCCCTCCGAGCCCCACCACTACTTCGCTGAAGCTGGGCCGTGCGACAATTGAACCAGCCTAACCTGTTTATTTCCAAACTTGCTTGCTCTTTCTTCTCCGCCCTTCTGGTTGCCGGTTCCCTACTGTTCTCTCTGCAGGCCGCTTCATTGTTCAGCTTCGCTAGTGCTTCCTCGGCAGACTTCAGCCTTTCTTCCATCGCCCTCCTTTTCTCTTGCTCTGTCACCAACGCAGTTTCCAGCTCGGTGATTCTCATCAGCATTTCTCTATGGGCAACCAGCATTTTCTCTATCTTTTTTTCGACCTCACCTTGCCTATATTTTGCGTCAGCCTCTTCTCTATCCGCTTCTACACTTGGGTATAATTTCAAACCCACCCCGCATCCTAAACAATTTACACTGTTTTCAGCCATGTCTTTCTAACACCATAGGTTCCTATGGCTTGTCTCACTCGATAAAAACAAAACTCGAGCCCTACCCTACGGAAAAAAGAAAGTCTAAGCTCTACTACAAACACTTACGTGTTCAATGTATGTGCACCTCCCCCACGGGGTGGCAGAAGAAAAAACAAAAAACAATAAATCAAACACACACACGTGCAAAAAATATAATACCTAGTGACTGACTCCCGAAAAACCCGTAAAATTTAAAACGTGCTACAAATATTTTGACTGCTGCCCTAATAATTATAAAAACAAGCTCGAAACATCGGTGCAGTCGATCGGGAGCGCTCAAAAAACCCGTCCATCCACCGTGACAGGCCGAACCGAACAAAGCAAGCGGTGACTAGCGCCATCTACTGCGCGCGCGTGAAAACATTTGGTCTGGTAGAACCAGGCCAGATTTGATGACGTCAGCGAGTAGGCCAGCGGAATGCGTAGGCCTGAAGTAGTCTGGGGGAGGAGGGTGTTGGTAGTACACGGGAATGGCTCACCACCGCCCCTTGAATTAAAAGCCGTAGGGACTGCCAATTTCGTGTTTTTTTCTATTCTTCCATCGCTGAGGCACGCAACAGCACTGTGCCGAAAGAAAACAGTGAAGCTGCAGAACCAACCATTTATAGGGTAACTGGCAGCGAGCATGAAAAACCGCTTTCGACCGCAAGTCATGTGAAATAAACTCGCAACCGTTACGACCTACGCTTTCGACACATTGCATCATCTTTGAAGCGAAACAGCTGCGTAAGAATGCACATTCACAACGCCAGCCACCTGCTCTTAACAACGCGTTAATGTGAGTGGTGACACAGACCACACGAGAGGACAGCATGAACAAGAAACCCGCCATTATCCTGCAAGACTTCCACCACACTTTTCACTTTGCAGCTTTGATTGTGAAATCCCCTCCTCAGTTTTCCTTTCTCCATGGGACCATCTTTTATACTTAAGGGACCCTTGCAACACTTCTCGAGAAGGGTCAAAGAATGCTGCTGATAGGCAGTTGAGAGACCCAAGGACACGTGCGCCAAACAACCTTGCACCGCCCGCGACCTGGCATTAACAACTGATTCTCAAAATGGCTAAATGTTTTTGCTTTTCACAAATGATGACGGAAACCAAAATGATGATGGCATAAACACAAATCTAGGGTTATTAGCTGATTGCAACGTGCCTCGAGAACATTGTTCCTGCGGCAGCTGTAGGATACCACGGCATGTGCCCTCGAACGCTAAAGTTTGAAAAAAAAATGCCTTTGGGTGAACTCAGTTATCCTTGGGTTGATTCACCTTACTTACGAAGTACGATTCACCTTATTCCTTATCTTGGTTCTCTATAAGCTTGCGCTTCTCGAGGCAGGCGGCTCGTTCTTCCTCCATCTGCGGGCTTGGCGCCTCCCCTTAATTTTGTTCCGGCGTCAAACCCTGTCTTTTTTCAGTCGCCCACTTTCTGAATCAGTTGATGAATCCTATCGAGCCGTGCCTTCTATATATTGTTGCGTACATGCACGAAGACAAAGAAGCGTAACAATATATATAATCTGATGCCTGTTCCTTCTTTGTTGTTGCAAGGTGGTTTCAACATCTGGCCCTCTGATTTCATGGCAGACAGCACAGCGAGCGGCGTTATCGGCAGCAGTGGTTGCTATGAAACGGCACATACCGCAGTGCTGCCATCAACCACAGTGAAACCACGAGGAAATGACCAATGCAGCTGTAGCTTAAAAAAACAAACGCGCTTACGACCGAATGTAGCTTATTGCCATCTGGGCTTATAACTCCGTCCCTTGCATAGCTTTGAACCGCATGGCTGGTACGAAAGGAGAGAGAGTGCGTGACGCCGATCTCTGCAAGTCCACTCGTGCATGAGAGAATAAAAAGTTTATCGTGGAAGTCTATTCGTAAGGCAATCGCCTTCTTCAGGTAGCCATGGAATGATCACGATAAAAGTGTTGTCAGATCATTAAACTAAATTTTGCGCTGGAATCTGCACCCGTAATATACAGATTGTCATGGGGCTTTAGAATTACTAGGAAGTGGGCTTTCTTGCGTATTTCAATCACAATAGTTCATCAGTGCTTTTAAACTCGGACCTAAGTTTTGACACTTACGATGCAGTCAGCTGTGTGTGTTTATTGCAGCCTTATACGTCATTGCAGGTACATCTCGCCAGCGGAACTGACGGTGGTGCGTTTCCTGGGAATTCTGGTGCTCTGTGCACCATTGGTAATGGTCAGTGGCGCGAATCCATTCAGAATGACGGGCATCCAGGCACTGCTCCTCTTTCGGGGTCTGCTGGGAGCCTCAAGCCTGTTCCTGCGGTTTTACGCCATCCACTATATGTCGATTGCCGACGCGTCCGTCATAATCTTCAGTGTGCCCGTGTTTGTGTCTGCGCTAGCAAGGATCTTTCTCAAGGAACCATGCAGTATCCTTCATCTGGCTACTGTGTTGGTCACCGTGGTTGGTCAGGTGCTGATTACAAAGTTTCCGATATTGTTCATCCGACCGGCTGAAGGTGGATATCCTGTCAATATCCATAAGCTGGTGGCTCCTTTCTGTTCTACTGTATTTAGAGCGAGCGTCTACATTGTGTTGCGAAGGCTCCGAGAGGTTCACCTCTCAGTAATAATGTTCAATTGCGCTTGGGTCGCTATTCTAGAGACTGGTACCATCTCATTGATAACCACTGAGCTGCTCTTTCCACAAACCGTCTTCGACGGGTCGCTACTCTTCGGCTTGGGTGCTTTGAGTTTTAGTGGGCAATTGCTTCTAACGCGTGCTTTGCAGCTAGAGCAGGCTGGTCCTGTGTCCATGGTTCGATCTAGTGCCAACATAATCTTAGTCTTCGCTTGGCAGGTGGCGTTGTTTAGCCAGGTTCCCGACTGCTATACCATTTCTGGCGCTGTACTTTTCACTGCTTGCCTGTTTTTCACGGGATTACGAAGATGGATCGACACCCTTACGGAGAATTCTGTCACACGAGCAATGATGGCATGGCTACTCTTCTAAGTACTTCTAGCTGGTTGGCATGCATATACCTTAGTTTCACGCGACATCAAGCTGCTACAAACCGGCATGTTTCACGTGTTCACTGAAATAAATATCATTACTATTAAAAAGTTGCTTAGCTAGCACAGTATTCTGCTGTAAAAATAATTATTTGCGTATAATGTAATGCCAACTGGACTGTCTGCTTCGCTGGTTGGCTCATGCTTAAGTAAAAAACAGGTGTACCGCAAAGAGGGCCGGCAGTGAGTGAAGAAACCAATATATGGAAATGGTCTTCCGTGTCTGAAAATCCGTTTCTTTGTATGCTGGCCGCTCTTTATGCACCAGACCAATTTTTATAGCGATAGAAAGTTCATGTTCTCTCGGCCACGTTTGGCCGTAGATGTCGTATTCATGTCTTGCACACACACACATATATATATGCATACTGTAATGGCTTGTATATATATATATATATATATATATATATATATATATATATATATATAGCCTGCCAAAAACTAGCAAGATGGCTATCTCAATAACGAAGAATAGCCCGAGCACGCTCTGCCCCAGATTGTCTTCCATCCTAGCGGAAAGCCATGCTCGCGCTCATCGTACCGAGTGGTGAAGTGACATTAGGCGTCCTCTGAAAAAAAAAAGATGGCCATCGCTTCGATGCTGTTGGATTGCATTGGGAAAGTTGGGGCAAACCAGCAGAAAACACGTGCATGAACGAAAACAAAGCCATAAGGTTTATGTGCAGTCGCACTACCACGTGAAGCACGGCTTCAGTCGCAATACATGCACGATCCCCAAGGGGTGCCTTCGACACCGTGGCTAGAAGGTCTCGTCAGAGACAACCTCCTAGTTCATATAACTCATGCGTCCCAGCATTTTTTGCGGTCCCAAATTGTGACTGAGCAGTTTTTCTAAATATCCTTGGCGTCGAACTGCATGGTCCGCACCCAAACTTGATCGCCTCAATGGTAGTCGACTTGTCGATGGCGAGCATTGTAGCAGCATGCTTCTGTACTCTGCTAGTGCATAATCTGTAAGCATGCTACCAAGCGTGCTTCTTCAGCCTACTTGGTAAGTTGCACAGGGTCAGGCGTGATGAAAGCGTCGCAATTCTCTGGAAGCCGCGTATCAAGCATTATCAGGACTTCACGTCTATAGACAATAAGGAAAAGAATGAATAACGTCGTTACCAAGACGGCAGTACTGTACACGAATGGGACGTATGGTAGCAACTGGTCCCTGGTAGTATGCTGCATATCCACGCACATGAATAACCTGTCGGCGATGGTTTTGTTGAGTCGCTCTGTCAAGCCGTCGCTCTGTGGATGATATGTTGCGGTCTTGCAAGGACTCGCGTAGCTGAGCCTAAAAGCGGTATGAATGAGCTGTGCCGTGAATGCACAGCTCATTTAGCGTTTTAGGCGCTAAAGACAGGAAGGTAAAATACCGTTTTCGGCCCTGAAAGTTATAGCTATAGGCACAATAAATTTTTACAAAACCTTAAATATCCCAAAACAACGACGTCGGTGACTTGTATTTACGGCAAGAATAAAAAAGATATCCTGTTTAAGACAGCAGAATGGTACTAACGCTGTAACAATGACATGCCTTGCCCGCCTGATTCGCAGTATGTGCGCTTTCGTTTTATCGTGTAGCATTATGCGTCACATGTCTACCATTCGAATAACACTATCCTGGGACTCTTTTGTTTTGTTGTGGCTGGGAAGTTGTCACAGATCCAGTTAATTAGGGAGACGATCGCCGGGCTGATTTCAAGGACTGAATTATCCACCCGTCGAACGGCACCCTCAAGTGCGGACAGTTTAGAAGTGGTCCTATTTGGCGCGGCAGTGGACGCCGGCTGTGGACCAAAGAACGAGTAAGAGCCGAGGTTTGATAAACGAAACAAAATTATATTTTCAAATATAGCAGATCAAACGATACACATAAATGCACTTTCGACAGTAGTTGAGTACGATATGTCACCGATCAAACAACGGACGACACAGTACAATCAGTTACACTTCAAACAACGGACCAGAACAACAATACGCGCTACAATACAAACAAATGCATGAAGTAACAAAGACATTTAAGGACTAAAGAGTTCGAAAACTTATTTAGTACAAAGTCCTCGGAACAAAAAATGAATGTTTTTTTCTATTCTAGGAAAGACTCACTCAACGTCCAGCGCTGTTGTCGATGCGCTGCCCCCGATGTTTCTCTTCCAGAAAACCTCGCGTCTTCAATTGGCCGCTTTCCCCGCACCACACTTCCTCACCGGTAATACATCGGCTTCCCACGTGCAGCTTCTGCAACGCGACTTCGCTCGCTGGCGGTAGACACACTCCTCTGCTTGCAGCAAAGTCTTCACCCCTCAGGTGGAAATCCCCTTCATTACTTGCTTTGTCACTGGTGACAGAAGCCTTCACCAAGGCGGCTGAATGACGCTATGCACCCTTGCAAAAACTTTTATATTCTGCCTACGCACACTGGCGCGAACTTTTTTCTTCTCCTTCTTAGTCACTAAGGAAAAAACCTTAGCCGACACGGCGGAAACTCCCTACGCACACTGGCGCACACTTTCTTCTTCTCCTGATCTCCCTTCTTCGCTGTTCGTTTAAATACTTGTCGTGCTAGATTCCAGAAAACTCTAATCCTTTCGTTGGCGCGATGCACAGCGAAAGCTGTGAAAAGAGCGAGACGTTTCGAGATCCGTCCACCACACGTGACGCAACTCTGTATCACCACACCCTTTCTTTGGAAATCCTTTCACGGCTTGCTCAGCGGCCGATGTGAGGACGTTGTTCGGCGAAACTACGCTTACGAGGGGGAAGGGAGACGGCATGCCGAAGAGCCTTTGGATGCTTGTTTTCTTCTTTAGCGTTGACCATGACGCGTCCCTCTGGGCTTGGTATCGTCACTGTCTCCAGAATGCGGCGGCGCGCTCTTTTTTGAGTGCTCGTTTGTGACACTGCCCCCCACTCTAAGAATATCATACGATATTGTTTAAAACCACACAAGTGTGCACGAACAGCCACCCCACAACTACAGTCCGTAACACAGCCCATTGTTCATGGAGCATCACATTCACCATAGAACACTCAATACAATTACGCATTGAAATTCAAGCTCACTACATTTGAAACATAACCACAGGTACGTGAGTACAATACTCCATCACACATTTCAAACAATACGAACATATTAGGTCTGCCTCTACAACACTAGTACAATCTTGTCGACCGCATCGCGACACCGCAACAAACACTTTGACATGCTCAACATATACTTGTGACACAGGATAAGAACAACACAACACATTGAGGCTCAACAATGCTAAACACATTCCGATTCGACCTCCGAAACTATCTTCTGTACCACGAGCGGCAATTTTGCTGTTTTTTGCGGTGCTCGCTCAATCTCTTCTTATTTTTCCTCGTTCTGTTCTGGCGAGCCTTTCCAATCGACGGTATCTGTGGGGTGTCTCAGTCATCGTTCAGGCTTTCGACACCACTAACGGGTCATAACGTTCAACCGATCTTGTCTGGCTACCTAACAGCTTGTTAACGTCACGACATTGGGCCTGGCTGGCGAAGTCCATCACCTTTTCACTGTTGGTCGGCTGAGGTCGTTCCGCCGAAATTCCAGCTGCATGGCACGTTCTCTCGTTCAACACGATCATCACTTGATTCACTGTCTTTTGCACCCAGGCTCCACCTTGGGCTCGGGTGAAATTATTCGCGGGATGCTGCACTATATCTCGTGGTCCTTGTGTCGGTGAAGGCTCCTTCTTTGGGTCTTCCGCCAAACGTTCGGGATAGCTCGGCCCTCGAGCCCTGTCGATTTTTCCGATGAAGAGGTCATACTGAGGGTCGTCATACATAGGGCAGTAACCTTACCGCTGAAGTAAGGGGTTTCAATCTCAATACCTGCCTCGGGATGCATCCGAACCGTACTGTCAATTAGGCAAACCGGGCTCGTTTCGCTTGTTAACTAACTTTCTCGTACCAAGTTTCTCCGCTCAATAACAGTAAGGCTACTGGTGTCTTTCAACACCAATCTTCTTGCTCGCGACTTTTTCAGGCAAAATCAGCATTCGCTTCCTAACACTGGTTGGCCGTTTTGTCACAACAGCACGCACATTAGGAAGCTTCTTTCGATTTTCAACTTCACAAATCCATCAGTGACGTCGTCATCCTCGCCATTTAGTGTAGACTTCACACAGGCTACTTAGTGAGTTTGACTCGCTCCATTACGACATGCGCCTGCCTTGTACCCAGTCTGACCACATTTGATACATTTTACTACAGTAGGGACCGTAAAGTTAGTTCAACAGCTATTAGCGCGACGACCCACTCGGTTACACAGAAAACATTGCGGAACACTTTCTAATGCACGTTTCTTTTGTTCGGGTGCCAATTTCTTCAAATGTTTGGAACAGTCCTTCTTAACCTTGGCCAGATTTGAGCCACCTTGCGCTTCAAAGAATTGTTCGGCCAACTCAAGCATGTCTTCATGTGACTTAGCTCCCCTTTCTTTGAAGAACAGCGACCAGATTGAGTGGCAACTGGTGAGAAATTGCTCTCTAATGAGAAGCTCTCCAAGCTTATCATACTCCTGTGCTGTGCCTGAAAGTTTGATCCATCTGTGAAAATAATGGCTAAGTCGTGCGGCGTAATGCGTAGTCGTCTCACTATCAGCTGGTCTTCTTGTCCTAAATCTGTGTCGGAAACCTTCCACAGTAAATCCAAATCTCTTCAGTAAAGCAGCATTCACCCTTGTATAGTTGGCTGAATCGGTTGGCGTCAGCCTACCGTACACACTGAGTGCTTCACCCCTGAAGCAAATACTCAGACCAATAGCCCATTGATATTCCGGCCAATTCTGTCTCTTTGCAATCTTAGACGTGTGGCAGCTTCGGCTAGTTAGAATGACATGACGATAGTTATAGAGGGAGAACAAAACCGCGATACAGAGACGAAAAGGACACGAAGACC